AGAGGAGCAGAAAGCCTCATCTTTCTCCCATGGGGGTGCTGGTGAATTGGAACTCCTGATGGAACTGCCAGCCTGGTGGTTAGCAGCCCAATTCATCCCCCACAATGCCACCAGAGCTCCCGATTTGCCACAATGACACCGAAAATATAACCTAATAACATAATAATGCCCCAGCCATAGAAGCTTACAACAATAAATATTTACTACGTTCAGGAATCTGAAGACTCCTGATTGTTCTGATCTGGATGAGGCGTGGCTGATCTTTGTAGACTGGTCATGCCTATGTTCCAGCCAACCAAGAACTGGCCGGTTTACTCAGGTGTCCCTCTCCTGTCAGTCAATTGAGGTGATTGGGAGGGAAGCAGTGGGTCGCGAGTCTCGTCCAACAACCAGCTAGCCTAAGCGTGTTGACTTGAGATCTGAGCGGACCTCCAACCGTGAGATCAGAAGTCACAGAAAGCCTCTCACATCCTAAACTCAGAGCTGGCACCTTCTTCTTTCTAGCACCTTCTACTCAATAAAGCAAAGCACAAGGTTACCCCACACTCCAGGAATGAAAGATACACTCCATCCCTTGATGGGAAGACATGAACGCCATAGTGTACAAGGTTGGTAGGTACATCGAGTCAGTTCGGACTCAGCCACCCTATGTACAGCAGAACACAGCACTGCCCACTCCTGCCCCAGCCCCATGATTGTTCCTGTGTTTGAGTTCATTGTTGTAGCCACTGTGTCCATCCATCTTGTCGAAGGTCATCGTTTTTCACTGACCCTCTACTTTTCCAAGCAGGAATCCTTTCTAAGCACTGGTCTCTCCTGATAACATGTCTAAAGTATGTGAGATGATGTGTCCAAGGAGTGGTGAAAAATTGCCGGCATCTTTACAAGCAATCCTTCATTCCCACAGAACCCAGCTTGAGTAGAGCAGGGTAGACACTCGAACAAATATTTGAGCATGTGATACAGAAGGGCAATTTAGTCCTACACATTCAAGAGCATGTACATTTTCCTTTTTAACTAAGAACTTGAACAGAAGTTAACAAGCACCATAGGGTTTTGTCTACCAGTGACCCTGGATTTAAGAGAAATTTCTGCTAGGGCAGTTACTATATTGTCAGATCTAAAACTGTCTCATCTAAATGCAAATAGGTGTCTGCTCTTTCCTGGAGACTAGAGTCCTTCATTGTTTCTCCCTTTCCCAACCTTTCTGGGAAAGGAAAATCTTCATCACATGTTACTTAATTAAAATACAGGCAATTCATAGCCTTGATAAACCAAATTCACTGCCATTGAATCAATGCTGACTCATAGCACCCCCCTGTGGGTT